ATACATAACATGGTGCATAATAAATGGAAACATTACATAGGATTAATACATGTTCTGTAATACTGTACTATACATAATTAATAGAGTAATATAAGAATACACAGCTTAAGGTACTACTTCGTGTCCATATTATACAAAAAGAAAAGAGCGAGACTAAGTAGAGGAATTACTACTTTTAATCCCCAGACCCGGCCAAGTGTTCATCACCAAGATCTGAATCATTTAGTTCAGAAAAAAAAGTCTGTGCACCTTAGAGGTTCAGTTTTAACGTTCAAGAAAGAAGAAGGTACTGTAGACAACTTGTAGGGCATAGTTAATTATAAACAACTTATAGGGCACAAGTTGGCGGAATATGAAATATGACCTTCAAAACACACGTAAGTAGGATAGGATAGGATAGGATAGGATATGATATGTTAGGTTAGGTTAGGCCGCCAAAATGGACAGCAAACCATCCAAACAGCTCTAAAAATTACCCACAACACTAGCTAATACACAATATTGTATTACCATACCACAGTATTAACAGTGTTAACTACTGCCGCCTCCTAAACTTCTTCAATTTCCAAACTATTAAGCCTTTCCTCCCTCCGCTCCTTTTTTTTAATTTACTCTTCTTTCTTTTTCGAACAAAATAAAAAATCCGGACTTGTTCTTTGATAATGCCAAAACGGGAGTGACTTTCATTGAGGACCTGTAACGATGACCTTTGTGTAATGTGGACCAAAAATGAGCATGGCCAGGTTGAGGCTGCCCAACTATGAGACTTATAATAAACGGATATCCTGTGAACTTGAGTTTTATCCGATGTTGACCAAAATTGTACAGTACTTATTCTAAACCTAAGTCGACCATGTTTCCAAATTTTTTAAACATGAAATTAAAACTGTGGATGTTAGAGTACAAATGACTCGTCGTTACAATGACTCTTGGCACTATCTCAGTGTGGACTTTGTAACCTACTGTACCACCTGGACCTTATAGAACTTTTGAGCACCATACCTATATGATATTACATTAGTCACACACACACACACACACACACAATATATACATATACATATATATATATATATATATATATATATATATATATATATATATATATATATATATATATATATATATATATATATATATATATATATATATATGTGTGTGTATGTGTGAGTGTGTGTTTGTATGTATGAATCACTTAATCACTTAGACAACTGATACACACCAGACACACATAATGTATAGGTTAGACGCACAGAGAAGGTATATAAACGATAGCAAATAGAGAGAGAGTAAAATAAAACAAAATAAAAATAAGATAAAATAAAAGAGAAGTAAAGACTCATGACGAGGAACAGGATGGTAATCCACACAGTTCCCACCCGGATAATATAAATCCTGGGAGCTATGATGGTCACCCATTACTCGAGGGTGGCTCATCATTTTCCTCGTATTGGTCTTCATCTTCGCTACAGTTCCCAGAATTGTCTCCATTCTTCCGCCTGGATCCGGTTGATGTTCAAAGAAAATTCCGTCGCCGCTACGATTCACGAATATTTGTTTTGAATATCGAAGAGATTGTTTTGACATCGTGACATACGCCGTCAGGGAAGGTTGTAGCTCCCAGGCAAAAAATGCAAGCTGCTATTACTGTTAATAATGGACCGTTAATCATCATATACAGAAGTTTAAATGTTTATCTGAATCCCAGATTTTATGACTATTACACTAGACATGTTAAGTCTTATTTTACGCACCGTCTACCAAGAGTGAATCTCTCAATTCCTTACCGGAAACGTGACTCAATTGAGCAGTCGAGTAAAAAATAAATAAAAATCACTCTGATGACGGTGAAGACTAACCTAGACTAAGGTGTCCCGGGTATATTGTACACACACACAGTCCCAACCATTGTAAAAATTATCAATAACTTGTAATCAACCAGTGTATTCACTCCCAGTCAATCTTACTTTTTGCAATTGTCACTATGTTGAAATGCCCTGTAGTTTGAGCTTCTCCCCACCTAGTTATTATATATCATATTTGTATCACTTGTGTTACTTGTATATTATTTGTAAATCAAGAGACCCATTCTCCAATTAGGTAACAGTATATTTTCAGCCTTCCGGCTGCCATGCTCTTTCAATAAACCGTTAATTATTATTATTATTATTATTATTATTATTATTATTATTATTAGACACGGGTTCGATCCCCGGACAGGGTGAAACCTAGGTCTAGAAAAACTGTGAACAAGTTTCTTTATGCCACTTGCGGATGGTGTTCCGGGGTAATGGTGCAGTTGGCGAGTTGTCCGGTCTACTCGGGCCGGCCATCCTTCAACACGAGAGACAACAATTACTATTATTATAGATGCAATATTTCTCATTCAATTTTTTATCAGAAGCAAGTTTTATCATGCGTACACACACAAAGCTTTTCGTGTTACAACATACAAATAAATCCTTCAGTCACCTACAGTACACTCATTTCATGGACTCTGTAGCCAACAATAATGGTGATGGTAGTGCTCCTTCCACGGTGTCCTCTGACTCACTAGTGGAGGTCACACAGCCATGCACTGCAGCCAAGGACACATGTACCCACCACTGATTCGGCAGTGTGTGTGTGTGTGTGTGTGTGTGTGTGTGTGTGTGTGTGTGTGCAGGTAAGAGAATGGTTTACATTCACTGATACGTATGAATGAAATGTCACCATGAAGGGGAAGTTCTGAATGAATTGTTAGTAAAGTAAAAAAAAGAGTATGGAATGAGTGATGTTAATTCTTCTCAACAAGATAATTGGAAAAGTTCCTGTTTCTCTTCCTCTCTGTTTCTCTTCCTCTCTGTTTCTCTTCCTCTTCCCCCTTCATTTTAATTTCGTTTATCCCATTCAAGTTACAAATGGATTATCTTATTCTACTAAATTACGGTTGATGTAAAGCCTACGACAAACCAGTGACTTCTAAAGCACGTAAGACTTAGTAGTCACAGATTCGAATCCCACTGTATATAAGAGAATGAGTGAGCGCCCCCAATCGACCCAGCTGCAAAATTATTACCTAACATTACGGATGGGGAAATGAGAGGCGAGAGAGAGCAGTACCGACTACACAGAATGGTTACTGTTCAGAATGCTGTGTCCACACTGCCCTTAACAGCCCGTCAGCCAGCACTATAAACTGGTTCTTTTCTGTCATCAGTTTTATCTATCAGGTATTATTCTTATCATTAACAACTGTTTATATAGAACTACAAAGCCTATATAAATACTTGAAGGTAAATAAATTAGCATATAAAAGAGAAATTTACACTAACGATAAATACAAAAATAGAAGAAAAAAATTAAGGAATAGCCAAAGTATAATTCATGGTATAATGTGAAGAGGAACGAATAATTATTTGTATAAGTATAGCTGTTGAGTCATCCTGTATATATATTAATTGTTTCGGCTTTCAAACACCCATCAGTAACTTTATTAACTAAGGTAGTAGGAAGTAGGCAGCTATCATACAGGGAGGTACTACTGCCTGGGAAGATATTGGAAGCATAATGTGTTGTCTAATGGTCGACCCTGCTGCCATATGGCATCACGAAAATTGTGACCAAGTCCCAGGTTGTTGATCTGACTTTCTGCCTCATTTACCCACAATTGCAGGGTCTCTATTGTTTCTCTTACCTGAGGAATAGCCACCCTCACACTAACCTAACCTGACCACCCTCACACTAACCTAACCTGACCACCCTCACACTAACCTAACCTAAGCACCCTCACACTAACCTAACCTAAGCACCCTCACACTAACCTAACCTAAGCACCCTCACACTAACCTAACCTAACCATCCGGGTAGCATTAGGGTGTTTAATGATCAAGTGATACAGGCTGAAGGGCTAATCTTCAGGTGATCCAATTAACCTTACGAAAAAGATACCGAACTAATTCACTGGATACTGATGGTACAACACAAGTGAGTCATTATTCTTGAAAAACATGAAAACACTTAAAGGGAAGGAAAGGTTCTCTTGAAACTTGGTAGAGTAACGAGCATAATGTATTGTGTATTCAACTATAAGTGAACTTCAACAACACAACTTATTTCACCTCATGATTAAAACCCTAACACCACCCACAACACAACATACCGGTAACCTAACATTTTCACTCATAAAGCTTCATAAACAATTGGTATTTTTAGAACAATTTAAATTTTGAGCAGCGTGTACATACCTCCTAAATACACATATAGCACACAATCATACACATACTATAGAAAAAGCTAAGTCATGCCCAAATTGGCTTAACAACATCAGTAGTGCACATCATACAACAGGTGTTTTACCTATTAAAATATACTGTTGTCTTCATTTTTCCTAAAAACTCTTGTTTGTGCATAAAGTGAGTAAGACTCTTCGTTGGTGATGCGCTTAAGTCTTTATAAAAAGAACGCGCTGACAATACCAGAAGTATCTCGCAAAACCATTACAATAAAACAAAAGTTATTATCTTGTGTTGGAACTCAGACTTAGTGAACGGTGAGGTTAATAGCATATTGAGTATAACAAATATACTCCGATAAAAACAACCTTGATATACATACATGTACAGTATGTCTTAAAGTATTCCTTCCTGAGATGATCGGTCGTTTTACTACTAAGGAATAATAAAAGACTGATTATGTTAATGAATGGGGCAGAGACGTGAGCTATAAGGAAGGAGGATATTGGTGGTCACTGAAGCATTGGTGAAGTACCGGAGATATTATAACAAGAGCAGAAGTGATATATAAAAGCAGTGGGATGAGAGATGAGGCTGAGGTGGTGTTGTCCCGTGGTGCGAGGAGAGGAGGAGGGGGGAAGACGACGAAGAAAGTCTGGAATGAGCAAATCAGTCACGCGAGATCAGGGGAATAGCGGAAGTTGAGGTGCAGATCCTGTAGCCAACGCCATCATATTTTCTTCTATAAGCAAGATACGCTGAGCACATGAGGGCCCGGGAGCATGAAGATGACGTGCAACTTCGTAGAACTACATAACAACCACTAGGCGTGTCCGGCTTCCTTCGTCTGCCTGGTATATAAACCCCAGCGGCCGTCCATGAGTCAGTCAGCGCTGAACCTTCCGCGTGAGCAGGTGAGTCATCTCTCTCAATGGAGTATATTTCATAGTTGCTCAAACATAAGACTACAGACAGATTAAGATAGACCCAGTAGGGAGCTGGCCAAAAAGCAGTCATATATCTTGTATATATAAATGAAACAAAATTCATGCCGCTAGACTTAAGTGTCCACACGAGAAAGCTACATTTTTATGATATTATTCTCTGACTACATGTATAAGAGAAGCATCCCTCAACAGTCATTACTGGTGACAGACACACAATGTTCAAACCTTGGATAGATAGATATATACATATATAAGCACAGAAAAGAGTAAAAGCGACTGAAACACGTGAAAAATAGCAATGATATTTGTAAGTCACACAGGAACTCGAACTCTAGTAAACTCACCAAGAAAAAAGTTAATTAGCTCATCAATCTTCATATTCACGGTATGAATTCCTCGAAAAAATTGTATGCCTAATCAAGACTTTTCAGAATTGTTTAACACAACACAACACATAAATATAACATTTCATAAGGTGTAAAGACGGCTAGACGAGTAACACTATAACCCCCCCTCCCCTACCTATATCATAATTATAACAATGACAAAAACAACAGATCCTGTAAGAAAGAAGGTGATGTAAAGGTCTGTAAAATCTCACACGCTATTCGAACTTATGAAAAGAGACCTGGAATAGATGAGTTTTTCTTCTCTTTGTCACTCTATGGGATTCTACCCAAGTGTGAATATATCTGGTAGGATTTTCCCCAATGGCTTTTGTCGTTGCACCAACCTTTTTTAAAAATTGCCGGTAATTTCCTGAAATGTAATTGTATATTCAACAGTCCCGTTTTCTTTTTTTGGTTCATTTCAGGTAACCAGTGAAGACGTGCCGTGTCAAGAGCAGTAGTGAGGATGGTGATGACACTGAGGACAGTGGTGATGGTGACGCTGCTGGGGATGGCCGCCGCCCACCAGATGTTGTGGGGCAACTGTCGTGAAGTCAAACCCTTCCCTAATTTCAGCCCAGACAGGGTAAGACTCACGTGTTTATGTCCATACTGTGCATAGTTTTTAGCAATTAACTTGAAGGGGTTATTCTGGCAGTGAACAGTGCCATGAGTGAGTTTATGTGCATGACCAGCCGTCATTAGTGTCAGGTCAACGACGAACCTTTGAGGTGATCCCTAAACTAAATTTTATCTGGGTTCAGATATTTTTGGTATTTTATTCAGGGTTTACCTTAAAGGTTCACACTGTTCTCACAACAGTGATTTTTGGTCTCATAACAACTTTAATAATAATTAAATTTATACGGAAGAGGTATCGTACCACCTATAAACCTCTTAAACAGTTCATGTAGCACGCGGAGGTATAATATATATAAAGGGTGATTCAACAAATAGTACATTAAATTGGAGGATGAAATCCTTGAATAATTCTAAACCACATTGTCTCTATGGTAAAATGTCAGAGTCTGCATAGTTTCCAGGTTACAATACATTGAAGATGTTGTATTAATGAGTGAATTCGAAGAGGAGCTTTCTTAAGCTCCTCTACGCGTGTTGGTGTGGGGATTAGTGGATGACAGCATTATGACCTGACCTCATGTTTTTAAGGTCACCCTGTATATTTAAGCCTCTCTCTGTCCATGTAGTCCTGTTGCCTCCGAAGATGTCTTGAATAAAGACAAAAGCTAAGGTGCTCCGTTGTTTCCCTTTTCCCGTGTGATTTTATCAAGATTTATCTTATCCACGTTTTCATCGTGGATCTACATGATATATATATATATATATATATATATATATATATATATATATATATATATATATATATATATATATATATATATATATATATATATATATATATATATATATATATATCACTAAATGTGGACATCTCATTTCTTCTACAGGTAGTTTCAGAAATCAGTTTTATCACTTTTCAATTATAAATTATACCTCCTAGTTCTGTCCAGTTTCTTCGATAACTTTGTAGTTTACATGAACAATTACTGGCATTACTATTTCGGCGAAAACACACACAACCATATAACTTAAAAAATCATTTTATTTTTGTCAATCTGGAATGGTTAATTCGTATGTGATATTCTCTTCGAAAATCACAGAATTCTTAGACACAAAGTTTGCAATTTACACTTTTCATTCACCAAAGACATCAATATGCAAGGAAGATAAGACGTATTCTCTTGCAGGAAGAGCCTTTGCTTATTTGGTTATTTTAGTACATGTCATCTAAAGTATTCTGTTCAACAAATTTCTCATAAGGTTAAGAATGAGCTTTTGTGTTAATATTGTATTGCGTCTACACCCAACAGTTCAACGGCACCTGGTACGTGATAAAGAAGACGGTCACGACAAGCAGGTGTTTCAGCACCATCTTTAACTGGCAGGGGGACGACATCTTCAAGGTACACGAAATCAGCACGCCCATCTTATCTGACATCCTTCCCTTCCGCGCCACCGTGACCAACGAGGGAACCTTCACCATGGACGCCAAAACCCCGGCCAAGATGAAACTCAGCTGGGACGGCAGTGAGTAATGTTAAAGAGTGTGTGTGTGTGTGTACGCGCGTTTAGGGAAATTTTATATTCCTGGACAATATTATTGTTATTTAATCTTTTTAATGTATTTTTCCAAAAGAAGTTGAAGAAATAACTCTTGGTGGTACACGCACGGGCAGGTTTCTCAGGGTACACCGGTCTCCTGTACTAACGCTGGACAATAAAGGTTGTAACAGAAAACAAACGAACCGCCCAACCGGCTAGTCAACTGATAGAAACAAAAAAAATCAATATTTTGTTTTCTCAATAAAAAAAAACATCTTCCAGAACAGATGATAATTCAAATGGTCACTCCACCACGGGGTCGGTCTTCTAAGTTGATCAGTTAGTTACTACTCAGTGAGCACGATGGCTATTGAACCCTCAGGTGTCACGAACAGGTGGGTGGTGCAATTTATAGTAACTTACCTATTAAGATTGTTGGTCCACATTGCTACAGAAAGACCATCCGCAAGTTAATAATATCAGTGTATAGCATTATCTAGACCCACAACAAGGTAGAGTTTATAGTTGTATCAAAATTCCCACAACAAGGTAATGGTTTTATACTTAGTGTATTATTGTTCAACACTGTATAATAAGTATCTCCCTTACCACCCACCACAGACTTGTTGAAGCATATGATATCGACTTACTTCGTGGTGGTGGACACAGACTACGACAACTACGCCGTTGACATCGAGTGCCAGTCGTGGAAAATCTTCAAGCGGATCTCAGTCACCATACTCAGCCGCACGGATAAACTCAGCCAAGAGATTATAGACAAAGTACGTTTATATATACCGATAACTTCCATGTATTTTTTTACTCGTAAACTCTTAACTGTTCATACACATCATTTAGATCATCATAAGTCTCATATAGAATAGTTTCACAAAAAACCTAACCTACCATAACCTTCTCTAACCTACATTTAGTACAATGTCGATATCTTATGGTGGTAAGACATCTTAAATGAAACAGAATTTATTTTACTATACTGTATACGAATTAATTTCCATTAAGTTATACCAGCAAAAACGCCAGTTGCTCATTAAAGCTTAAACGACTGTTCCAGGATTAATTTCCTTTTATCAATGACTGGTATACCTTCACTACAACTCGTAAACAGTATGAATGCTTGTAGTAAAATGGTGTGGTAACTTGTCTTCGCTGAACCGTGCCAACAGTCTCTCTAACAATGTTTCTCGTTCTTGATGCCACAGGTGGAAAAAATGCTGGAGGAGGATTTCGAAATAGACATCTCTCGCCTCAGCACCGTCGACCAGTCTAAATGTTTCAGCCCAGATGAGGTCGACTACAAAGTCAATATCGACGAAAACGGCTTAAGCTTCCTTGGTCTCCTTAATGATAAGAAATTATTAACACTAGACAATGCTAAGGATGTGGATGAATATCTGGGAATCACTGACCCAACAAACTAAATGGTTTGTTAAAGCTTGTTATTAAGACATGAAGGATGTACACACCACGCAGTATAAATCTCATACCATGTCACTACCACACCCACACGAGTGGTGTATAAGAGAAATTACACTTACACCACCATGTACACCTGGTAGCCACGATCAACACAGTGCCAGAAGTACTGCAGTATCACCTCTGTGTTAAACAAATTGTCTAATAATTTTATCCCGCAACTCCAGACGAGAGATTTGGTACAAGAGTGTCTTAAATGTTAACAGGTCGTGGAAGTGAGGCTCTTTTCTTCCCCCGTAAAGTACCAAGTCATCACCTCATTACCAGAAGATGATTCTGTAATGTTATTCAACCAGACTCAAGCTGAATATATTTACAACTGTATGATGTAAGACGATGCACAATGTTAAGTTTCTTATCTCATGGTGTGTGTGTGTGTGTGTGTGTGTGCGTGCGTGTTAGGTCATCCCTGCCCTGATACACGGCTCATTACTGAGTAAACTGGAGCTCTCAAAATAAAATCTTAAAAACTTAGTTTCTTTTCATTTTAACTTTTTTCAGTGTTGCGTTATGTTATCAGCAAAAATGAATCGGTGAGTTCTCCAGTGTCGCTTTACGAGTGTCAAAGTGTGACTTAAGTATTTACTTATTATGTTTTTTACTATCTGTAGAGGAATAATAACCAAGAGAAAGGAAGAATAGACAGGTGTCGATATTACAGATACACAGCTGACCGTCAGGTATTAAACTCTCAGATAAGGTCTTATGAACACCCACCGACGTGAACCATTCTCCTCTTGAGATGTTGAAATTTTTATTTTTTTCACTCAAAGCAGACTACATTTATTCTTCTAAAACACATATGAGTTATGTTCCCCATTTGACTTTTAGATGAAGTGTTGCGTCTGGCTAAAGCAAATTGTCACAATATCTCGGTTCCCACTACCCATAAACACTGCAACACTGGCCACTACTGCAACACTGACCACTACTACAACACTGGCCACTACTACAACACTGGCCACTACTGCAACACTGGCATCTACCACACCACTGGCCTTTACTGCAATACTGGCCTCTACTGCAATATCTGGCCACTACTACAACACTGGCCACTACTACAACACTGACCACTACTACAACACTGACCACTACTACAACACTGGCCACTACTGGCCACTACTACAACACTGACCACTACTACAACACTGACCACTACTACAACACTGGCCACTACTACAACACTGACCACTACTAACCACTGACCACTACTACAACACTGGCACTACTACAACACTGACCACTAACACTGACCACTACTACAACACTGACCACTACTACACTGGCCACTACTACAACACTGACCACTACTACAACACTGACCACTACTACAACACTGACCACTACTACAACACTGACCACTACTACAACCACTACTACAACACTGACCACTACTACAACACTGACCACTACTACAACACTGGCCACTACTACAACACTGGCCACTACTGCAACACTGACCACAACTGCAACACTGGCCACTACTACAACACTGACCACTACTACAACACTGACCACTACTACAACACTGACCACTACTGCAACACTGACCACTACTACAACACTGACCACTACTACAACACTGACCACTACTACAACACTGACCACTACTACAACACTGACCACTACTACAACACTGACCACTACTGCAACACTAGATATAGCCCGCGGAAATATCTTGGGACGGCGCAGGAGGTATTGGCAAAGCGCTCTGCTAATCAATATGTGGCGGTGTACCAGCCAAGGGACTGCTGCTGCCGGGTGCCACTCCCTTGCCGCAGCCCACAACCAGCAGTTCTCCAGTTGCTGCTCCTACTCCTGCCGGCTTCCGGTTTTCTTTTTCCAGGTAAGGATATTGTGTTGTTGCAATAGTGATGAGTGATGTGTTATTGTGACTTAACTGCTACAATGTGTTCATTTTCAAGTTGTAGTTCAGTGCTAATTCTGGCGTGGTACTGTGTGAGGTGGTGTATGGAATGTGCATTAGTGCTGTGATATAGTGCTATAAGGTGGTGTTGTGGTGCTGTTATATAGTGCTGTGACACGGTATTGTGGTGCTGTAATATAGAGTTGTGGCGCTTTAATATAGTGCTGTGACATGGTGTTGTGGTGCTGTAACAGTGTTGTGACACGGTGTTGTGGTACTGTAATATAGTGCTGTGACACGGTGTTGTGAGGTAGTGGTATGTAGGACAGAAAGTCACTAGAAAAAGTAGTCAGAGTGTAAATAGAGACTGATGAGGGTTAGGTCTGGTCTAGGGAGTAAACATTCAAATCCCAACCTAACCAAACCTAAACAACCTATTCCAACTTAATTTGTTAATGGTATTGAAATAAAATGTGAATTTTTTCCTAACCAAATTTTAGACTTTTTTCTGTGATTCTATTTCCGTTCACCGAGGTGGCGCTGTGAGGCGGTGTTGTGGTGTGGAAACGTGCATTAGTGCCGTGTCGTGGTGGGGTGTTGCTTAGACAGCGATGTAGTGTTGCTGCAGGATGAGCAGATTATGTGGAGCATTTAATTGTCCTGGGCAAGTGCTTTTGAAATTTACTTGTCCTGATATTTTTTTTTATTTGACCTTCCAAATTTGGGAGGAAATTTGCTTGCCCGATTTTTTATGGGAAAAGTAAAAAAAAAAACAAATACATTAAAAAATATTGTATCAACTAACATAAGACTTGTGTCCGTCTAATTGCCTTTTACCCTCACCTTTCTCCAGCCAATGGTGTTTGAAGAACCCAGTCTGTTGTCATTGTTTCTTATTCATACTGATAATTTCACTTCAATTTGTAACATAACTCTGCTTACACAGCAAACAGTGGGAGCTTTAATTTAGCTTTTCAGGTCAGGTGAGAATAGACCAATAGAAATACTGTAGGAGGGATCAGCTATGACGTCACTGAGGCTGAAGAACGCACCTGGACTTTCTTAACAAATCAGGTCATTGTGGGAACAGAAAAGTCAGGGATCAGTTCAACGGTGACGTCACGATATAGTGCTAGATGATCAAGCGCACGCACACCCGCCCGCCCACTCACACAGCCCCGCTCCCCCTCCCTTCACCTCGCTGGATGACGGACCTCACAGGTTAAACATGTGCGGGCAGGTACTATTTCCCGTCCTGATATTTTTCTCTCAAAATATTAACTTGTCTGCCAGGGAAGTACCAGGCACGTCCAGGCTGCCGGGCACTACTAATCTGTATAGCCTGTGGTGCCAAGTTGACAGTTACGTGGTATTACTGTGTTGGAAGTGTTTTGATGTTACCGTATTGACAGTGACGTGGTATGTAATGGTGATAGTGAGACGTGAAGATGCAGTGGTGAGAGGGACTTGACAGGTTTTACAGTTAATAATAACGTGTATTTCTATAGTTAACAGTGACGAGGTGTTGCAATATTAATGATGACGTGGTGTTGCAGTATTGTTAGTGACGTGGCGTTGCAGTATTGACAGTGGCGTGGTCTTCAGTTACTGATAGTGACATGATCTTGAATTACTGATCGTGACATAGTCTTGAATTACTGATAGTGACGTGGTCATGAATTACTGATAGTGACGTAGTACCACTTTGTTATGTTGTATTAAGCTGTATGTATATACAGGTATTAATAATTTCGCAAGGAAGTTTGAGTATAAATATCTCTGGCAACGGAAGGAGGAATTTGACATGTCAGCTGTGTAGTACCGCACACCCTGGCGACACAATCACTGAACCGCACACCCTGGCGACACAACACTGAACCGCATACCCTGGCGACATAACACTGAACCGCACAACCGCACCGCACACCCTGGCGACACAACACTGAACCGCACACCCTGGCGACACAACACTGAACCGCACCTGGCGACACAACGCTGCACCGCACACCCTGGCGACACAACACTGGACCGCACACCCTGGCGACACAACACGCACCGCACACCCTGGCGACAACACCAGACCGCACACCCTGGCGACACAACACTGCACCGCACACCCTGGCGACACAACACTGGGCGCACACCCTGGCGACACAACACTGAACCGCACACCCCTGGCGACACAACACTGGAACCGCACACCCGGGCGACACAAACACTGAACCGCACACCTGGCGACACAGCACTGAACCGCACACCTGGGCGACACAACACTGAACCGCACACCCTGGCGACACAACACCGAACCGCACGCCCTGGCGACACAACACTGAACCGCACACCCTGGCGACACTGGCGACAAACACGCCTGGCGACGCAACACTGGACCGCACACCCTGGCGACGCAACACTGACCGCACACCCTGGCGACACAACACTGACCGCACACCTGGCGACACAACCTGACCGCACACCCTGGCGACACAACGACCGCACACCCTGGGCACGACAACACTGACCGCACACCCCGCGACGCAACACTGGACTGCACACCCTGGCGACAACACTGAACGACGCACACCCTGGCGACACAACACTGACCGCACACCCTGGCGACACAACGCTGCACCGCACACCCTGGCGACACAACACTGGACCGCACACCCTGGCGACGCAACACTGACCGCACACCCTGGCGACACAACACTGAACCGCACACCCTGGCGACACAACACTGGAACCGCACACCTGGGGACACAACACTGAACCGCGACACCCTGGCGACACACACTGACCGCACACCTGGCGACACAACGCTGCACCGCACAACCCTGGCGACACAACACTGGACCGCACACCCTGGCGACGCAACACTGACCGCACACCCTGGCGACACAACACCACTGAACCGCACACCCGGCGACACAACACTGGACCGCACACCCTGGCGACACAACGCTGCACCGCACACCCTGGCGACGCAACACTGACCGCACACCCCGGCGACGCAACACTGGACCGTACACCCCTGGCGACACAACACTGAACCGCACACCTGGCGACACAACACTGAACCGCACACCCGGGCGACACAACAACACTGAACCGCACACCCTGGCGACACAACACTGACCGCACACCCCCGGCGACACAACGCTGCACCGCACACCCCTGGCGACATACAACACTGGACCGCACACCCTGGCGACACAACACTGGACCGCACACCTGGCGACACAACACTGCACTGCACAATTGGCGACACAACGGCGCACCGCACACCCTGGTGACACAACGCTGCACTGCACACCCTGGCGACACACCGCTGCACCGCACACCCTGGCGACACAACACTGAACCGCACACACCTGGCGACATACAACACTGGACCGTACACCCTGGCGACACACACAACGCTGCACCGCACACCCTGGCGACGCAACACTGACCGCACACCCTGGCGACGCAACACTGGACCGCACACCCTGGCATACAACACTGAACCGCACACCCTGGCGACACACAACACTGAACCGCACACCCGCGACACAACACTGAACCGCACACTTGGCGACACAACACTGGACCGCACACCCTGGCGACACAA